ACTGTGGAGGCAGTGGTTTAAACGTGGTGTCCAACCCGCCTGGGCTGCCGTACACAGGCGTAGTTTGGCGCGGGGTTCCAAGCGATGTGATCACGTGCATCCTCTGTGTGACCTGATTCACCAACAGGAACAAAACAAAAGAACAACAATAACAAGAGGTGCACAGATTGTGCTCCGGATTGGCTTTCTGCCCTCGGTTTCAAAGCAGGCCAGCGGATGCACACAAACTCGTGTCTAGTCCGACATCTCTACTTGTGCGTCACACACGAGAACAAAGCGAAAAAATGAAATGATGTCACAAAAACAGGGACTTGATGTTTGAGTTACAACCATATGACGTCCGTAGACGCGACCATGAAACGGCATCTGGTCTCTAACAGAACGCTGACACCAGGCGATGGACGGAACGCTCAATAGGGGTGAATCACTCACGATTCCAAGATGACCAAACGTGCTATTGAGCCGTTCGGAATCGGGGCTGTCTGGCATCCACCTGGACAGACAGTTGAAAGGTTTGAGTCGTGAACCTGTTTTGCCTGTGCTCGCGGCCTAAACTGGCAATGCAATAAACACAAGCAACACATACATACTTTGAATCTGTTTGATTGTGCCTTTAAGTTTCCACCACTCAGTCACTCTTTCTTTTCGGAACAATTCAATCATAGTTATTTTGTGTTTATTGCAACGACGCCCACTGTATGATCGGTCAGTCGCGTGGAGCATTCTCTGTTAAGCGCAGCAGTGAACTTTGGTTTCCATCTATAAATATGTTGAAAAGTACCTGAGGTCATTGAGTTGTCCTTTAAATGATAGTTATGGTTGTTTGACATCGGTTCCCTAAATCACATTCACTTTTTTTCTTATTGCTTGGTTGCTAGACGTTTTATGCGGACCAGTTTGGTGAAGATCGTGTGGTCGTGGTCAAAGATTCCAAACTGATTGACCGACAAACGTTAGATCCATCCAAGGTGAGTTTATTGTTTCACATATGCACTGTACCATTTCAGGGAGCTGTTTTTTATTCGGGTTCTACATACCCCGATTTTATTCAGCTTGATTTAACAGTATAGCACGAACTGTCCCGTTTCATACTATGCTTCATTGCTCCTAACACATAAAAACACGATCTGTATGCCTGGGGTGTCTTACTGATCGTCAACCTAGCCATAGCTGCCTCCACGGTGCTTGTATTTACTAGTCGTTCTCACTGGTCTCAAACTGTCGCCATCCATCCGGTTGCTTCGCCGACAATGCACGCACGGCACACTTCGAACCTGCCTGGCGTTACCGTAATTCACCCCCATCCTTCTACCGCAGTTGATTTCGGTGATCGGTGCGACGCGTTTTGCCTTTTTCGTTTGACTGTTCCGTCACAGTTGGATACCCATCGAACCGTGTGTATGTGTGTGTGTGTGTGTGTGTGGCATTCGCTAATTCCGACACAGAGAATGCCCCCTGAGCCGAACCAGTCGCACCTTACCACAGTTTTTCTCTCTGTCTTTCGGTAGCATGCGACTCAACAACAATGAGTGTGTTCCAATCGTCAGAAGCGTAGGCGAATTTTGACCCTCCGAAAATACCATCTACCCCTACACGCACATCCTCCTCTACTCTGGTATCGAAAAATTCAGTTTTTCTCACTCGATTCCGACAAGAAACTTGTCACAACCGTTTCGCAGCTCAGTCCTCATTCTTGAATTTGTTATGCAATGCGTTGGAGAATGGACTCATCGTTACCCAACCGCAGGTCACTCCTACGTATTCTGCGTCTCTAAACAATAAGTGATTACGTATCCCACAAATATAGTTGACATAATAATAATAGTAATCGTGGTCTTTCTACGATAACCTATTGTTGCACATCTTTGTTCTAGTATCCCAGACGAGGATAGTTTATCATTTCGTCCGATATCCACGCTTTTCGGACAACTTGGATCTGTGAATCATTTTTCATTTCTTTGTTCATTTTCAGTCGAATTTCTTTGATTTCCTCTCTGCAGTTGCTCCCTCACACACAAACTGATCATATTGCCAGATTTGCGTGGACAACAGCACAAATCTAGCACTGTTTCGAGTATAAATGTATGTCTGTTCAGTGGAGGTTGATTTGCTCGATTGCTTGAATAACGGAACTTTGAACTGTCATCCCAGCCCGAAAATGAATAAAACGGTCAAGTCGAAAGCTGCTCTTAGGCACACGTTACAAGCTGCTTTCGAGATGAAACATTGTCCCATTGGAACACAGCTTCACACTGCCGTGGTGAAGGACTGATTGGGCGCTACAGATGAAAGCTGAGTAAAAGAAACCGCTAACGATTCG